AGGCCCAGCCACAGAGCCCAGCCACAGAGTTGACAGAGTTCAGGGGCCCAGCCACAGAGCCCAGCCACAGAGTTGACAGAGTTCAGGGGCGCGGAGGAGGACAAGGCCCAGCCACAGAGCCCAGCCACGGAGCCCAGTTAGAGAGTTCAGGGGCGCGGCCAGTGAGTGTGGCCAGCTCTTTTCTTCCTAAGATAGAACCCCAACAGTAAACTGTTTGGGGAAAAACGGCGAAAAACGTCACCCAAACAGCTCCAAAATCACAAAATCTGGCGCCGGCCTCCCGACCAAAAGTAAAAAAACATGCTTTTTCCAATGTTTTTGTGCATTGCTAGGCTCGACATTTTTGCCCGAAAAAGAAAAAACATGTTTTTGGCGACCATGTTGTTGAAAACGTCGCAATTGCCGTGTTTTTTGACAGCAGGTTCAAAAACACAGTAAATAGCGGTGTTTTGGGCCACGGCAAGCTCAAAAGCATCGCTATTTGCAGTGATTTCTGTTTCACAGAGCATAAAAACACTATAAAATACGGTACGTGGTGGTGTTTTCGGCAGCGTCAACCTCAAAAACTTTGCTATTTCCAGTGGTTTTTGCTTTCCGGCGCATGATTTTTCCTCTCAGTCAGTCTCCGCACATCAACAAAGATCAGATCACCCCTCATCAGGCCCCTCTGGCCACTTCTCAACTCCTCCGCTTACAATTGCAGCTCCCGGTCACAGTATTTGTTCCATTCTCTCACGCACTAATGCCGTTCAATGCGCGCCACCTCCAGCTCCTCCATCGCACACTTTGGGGGCAGACACTCTGACGCTTCTTGACCCAATGGGTTGCAGTCACTCGTGTGAGATGAAGATTACGCAAAGCAAACAGCTAAGAACTTAATATCTGCCGAAGAACGGTTCGGTAAGTCCATATGGGCTAGCAAGCCAGGTTCAGCTGTAGTGCCTTGAAGCGTGTAAAGACTACAAGCTTTTTCTGGCCACAATGGAAACGATGTGCGAGACCTGTTCTTCAGCCAGCTAGCGCTGCCAAGTTCGTGTCTGTGGCAACACTTGAATCGCACCTGGGTATGAAGTGCAGGCTTCACATGTCCTATTGAAAGTGAGATGCGCTGAGCAAGGACTCGGCATCAGACATTCCTGTTGCACATTGCCTAGCTGAACGTATACTGCTCTTGGCCTTTTTTCAAAAGGGCTTCTTATGGCAAAATGGAAAGCATTTTTTCTGCAAAAGCAATGTCTATGATGGTCCCTACAGAATCTTGCACGCCCCATGGCGCCAATACTGTTGTGGTTAGGCGCACCCTTTGTCCTCAGTGAAGCAAGTTTATGCCCGGTAGTCTCTTTGTAAGACTTGAGGCAATCGGGCAAACATTGCTAGACGGCCTTGTGCTCGTGACCTCCGTCATCGGGCGGAGCGAGCAGGGAAGCGGACTTTGGTACCGGGGGTAACTGCAAGTGGTCACCGGACAAAAGGAAGAATGAAATGCGACCGAGAAGGTCACCAGAGGCAGCGTAGTTACTCAAGTCCAAATTGTGGTGGTGGGCGCGAATTGATGTTGCTGGCAGCACTGCTGCGTGGAACAATGTGCTGGGAAGCTGGGGCCATTCGTCGATTATCAGGCACCTGCTTGGCCAAGGGTGCTTTCCAATTTCCGCTGGTCGGCGTGCCGCCGTACGGTAAGAGCATAAGATTTCAAGCTGTCCGTGGCTCTAAGCCCCACCAAGTTGTGAACGGTTCTTCCTTGAATGAGCCTGGCAGCTTTATTGGAAGGGGCAGCAAGCTGGACTTTGGATGGCCCGAAATATGTGGACAAAAGCGGCTTGAGCACTTCCATGATCAGGGTGGTTTTGCCGCACCCGCCTCCTCCTACCATTAAAGTTCGAACGAGCCCAAGGTCATTGGGCAACTTATAAGTCGTTTTGTCTAGCCGCTCTAGCCGATTCTGGATGGCTGTCTCCAAAGGCAAAATCAACAGAGCAAGCAATTCGATTTGTTTTTGGTTAAATGGATATTTGCGAATCAAGGACCAAGCATATGCCGCCGGTCCTTGCTCTACAGCCAGCTCTGGTGATAGGTTGGCTGCGTTTGGACAGTTGCCTTGCAGATCTGCAGCAACCAATTCTTTTCGCAGCAACTTTGCAACTGCATTCTGGTGAGACTGTGCGTCGTCGACGTCTGCCTGCACATGACCAACATTCAGGGAGACAAAAGGAAACAGAAGGGAGACAAGGCGGACACAGTGACCCACAAGAAGGGAGACAAAAGGAGACAGAAGGGAGACAAGACGGACACAGTGACCAACAAGTAATAAGAAGGGAGACAAAGGGAGACAAGCCCGACGGAAGGCGGACTATGCAATGTAAAGGGCCCACAAAAAGATCGAGTAGACTTTGGAAGTTGGCCCAAAATTGGGCCATCAACAGCAAGGTATTCTTAAAAATACGACAAACCCAGCAAACACACACTTCGCTTAATCACATGACACCATGCTGATGCCATCACTCAGTTAAAGACAACCACTGCCTTAAAAGAGTCGACACCAAAACGATGGTCAGTGGGTTTGTGGTGCATGCCCAGGTCAGACCTCTCAATTGAGCAGGGTGTAGTTTGTCGCATGGTCACATGGTTGGTTTCCAAAATGTCTTTTCCCAAAATGGTGCACTCATCGCAATTCCTTGGGGGCCCGCTTCTAAATCTCCTTCAAACTCCAACCACACTCAAACCACAGGGATGTTCAATATGAAGGCATGTCAACTGCAAAAGTTGTGAGAGGTGTCTAGCGCGGACCTTTTCAGGGGCCTGTTGAGCTGCTGGAGCTGTTGTTGTTGTTGTTGCTGCTACTGCTGCTGCTAGACTTCTGCAGTTGTTTCCACTTCTCAGAAGTCTTCAGAACGACATAGGAAGGACGTAAGAGCTGACTCAAAACATTCAGGTGTTGGATGGGCAAATGGTCAAGAAATGGACCGTCGTCTAGCGCGGTGCTAGCGCAAATCTAGCGCCAGCCTATTTCTTCATCCTGTCAGGTTCTTAGTTTTCCTGCTTGCTTGTCTTCTTCTTGTTGTGCATTCGTCTTCTTCTTCTTCTTCTTTGTTTTTCTTTTTTTCATGTCATGGTTAATGGTTTCGGTGGTCGGTCAATTGATGCGTATACATAACAACGCAATATAAATCAATATAATACATCATTAGTGGCCGCCCAAAGATGAGCAAAATAAGAGTTGTGGCACCATGCAGGGTGGGCAAGGGTTGGGTGCAGTAGGGGACTAGTCTAGTCCAGGAAAAAAATACAAAATGAATCATATCCCAACACCTGACTTCACAGGTCTCCTCTAGAGGCTTTTGCAGACTTCAACAGACTTCAGTCGGTGACCTGTTGGAGGGTCCTGGTCCAAAAGACTTTTTTGGAGTGAAGACCAACAGTCATGACTCCAAGTCAAACAGTTTAGCGTCTTTCGGCGCAATAGGAGTATCGATCTGCACATGGGAGGGATAGTCCTTTACACCACTACTCCTCTCTAGCCTGAGTATTAGCCTATTGTTTGGAACAAAAAAAGCGCCATTGCTCCGCATTTGTGTTTCTCTATGTTTCAAGCGTTTTGGGCTTCGGATGCGCAAGGTTAACACGGAACGCCAAGGAGCTTCCGCTTCGAGCGCTCCAACTCTACGATCTGGTCCTGCTCGGTCGGCGTGGCGGCGAGGCCAAGCAGTAAGACGATCCACCGAACAGGGGACCGAACAGTCGCTGCAAATGACTGGGGTCATGGCACCGGAAAACACCGCGTCTTTTTCCCACTGAACATGATGATAACGAGATAGGGTCCCAGATAGGGTCAACCTACCAGCCAGTTTCCCGGGTTTCCATGCACAGCCAAAAGCAAATGAGCGCCCTTGGGCGGTATAAGAAGGCCGGAAAATCGGGCTCCAGTACCTTCGTTTCGGAACTCGAAAGGGAGACACTCCATGGGACGCCCGACTTGAGAACCAACTAGGAAGTCATGAGTTCTCTGGTCTGTTGCAGCAGTGCCTGCAATGAGATGTAAAACATGAAGAGGATAAAGTGAAAACCACCCAAACATTGAAAAGGCAAGTTTCCCATTAAGCCTCAAAGAAATCATAAGAAATCTTATCATACAGAACATTTAGTCCATCAATGTGGGGACAAAATCGTCAGTCCTCACAAAGAGGCAAAGTGTATCTTGTTGACCCAGCCACAAAAACCAGCACTTGAAGGACTTGTGAGCACCGTCTACGAGCTCAGGCAACCTCTTCCCTCCGAGCTCACATCATTCAGAGCACTTGGACCTTTCCTCAGGCCTTGACTCGCCTTCGCTCGGGAGTCCCTAACCAACCAGCGAGTGAGGGAGGGGCCAGGGAGGGGTCCTCCTTGGACAAGTCGCCGCTTCGGAAGTGCACGATGGACTTGTACCTCGGCTTCTCATGTGGATGTGGAGAAGTCAGTCATATTCTTCACTTTGGGTGTTGTAAGAAAAAAAAGGCATGTGAAACTGCTAACCATGAAGCTGGTACGTTTTAGAAGTTTGGACTTGGACCGTCCAGACTCCAGTTTCTCGAGCGTCCGAGAATGGAGTCCAAAACGGAGTCGCTCGAGTCGCCACGCATCCGTTGTCTATGCATCCGATGTCTGAAGGGATCGCAACCGGCCAAACGCGGAAACCATGGTCACCGGCCAAGTACCTAAAAAAAAAAAACACACACTCATGTCGGAGACCCCTATAAATATACATGCAGTTTATATATACAGAATTTGATTTAGTTGTGTGGTTATTGTATATAGAAGGGATTCTTCCTCAGACCCTTGAACCTCTCCATGACCGGAGGCCTTTTTGAGGCACAAGTCTTGGTTCGTTCGACCACAGAACATCTGATGGAATCTGGCGCTGTTCCCTGAAATTTTCAGGTTCCACCAGCAGTAAACCACCCAGTTTGGGTGGTTAGATCAGATGTGAAAACAGACCGTATTATCCAAACACCCGTTGACTGGCTGGTGCAGCACCACCCAGTTAGTGAAAACACACCCCATCCAGCACACCGCTGGGCGAACTCGTTCGCTCGCCCAGACGCTCCGTTTTCCTCCGTTTTCGGCGGCGCTCCTCTCCGCTCTCCACGTCTCCGGGCGTTCCGGGCGTATCCCGATGCAACTGCTCCAAGGGGTGGGTCCAGCTACTTGCATGGCTCTGCACGTTGTAGTAAAAGACCCGATCCGCACTGGCGCGAGGACGTGGTCGAGTCCGACGAGTTCGCAGATTCGGCGCAGTTGGTCACGTGCGAGGTCGGGTTTGCGGGCGAGAAGAAGGGAGTGCACGGGCGAGGGCGGGACAGGCATGTGGTGGAAGAGCTATCATCGATAGTGATTGATGGTCAGTGGGTTGGGAGTGTTGAAAAATGTTGAAAAGCTGCCGTGTGAAAGCATAAAGGATCATGAATGTGAGTCCCAAGTTGGGAATCCTCACACTGGTCCTGTTCACAAAACATACCACGCAACAGACCATCATGAAGGGTGATCGTTTTTAGAGGTGAGGTGATTAGCCTGTAAGAGGGCTGCTACTGGATAGAAGAAACACGGCAACAAACAACTCACCCCCTATAGGGATTCCACTGCCACCTTTTCAGAAGGTACGACTGGACCCTCCTGGCACCCACATCACCGTACGTCAGAAAATAGGTGGATCATGGTGGATCGCTATAGGGACCAAGCAAAGTGAAGGCCTATGCTCATGAAGTTGTCCAGATCGTTTTCCTGAAAGAACGCGTTCTTAAGAAACCCGCAATTGTCACAAGCTGCATTCTTCTTGTCGGGCAACGACCCTCCATGCCCTGGGGATTTCCGTTATTTTTCCCCCCCAAAAGCCCCGAAGAACGATTCGGAGGTGCCCCGGGGCAAGTCGATGTTTCTCAATCGATGTCAGACTCGACTCAGATCATGAAAGCCTTTGCGATCATTGGAACCCCGGAACGCTGCAAAGTGATCATAGAAGCGGGTTTGTCAAAACCAAGAATGGCTTCACACGGGCCACAGCTAAGAGTACCAAGCACTGTTTGAGTTTTTTTAACCAGCACCCGACTTCACAGGTCTCCGAAATGGAGGCTTTTGTAGACTTAAAAGTAAGTCGCAAGTGGTGATCAGTTGGAAGGTCCTGGTACAAATCCTTGCTAATGTAGACTTGATGCTATTTCACCCCCCCCTAAGCCTGGAGATGTTAGACCATTCGACAGGGGGGGGCGAATATGTGAGAGTCATGACTAATTCTGCCGATAGAAGAGTGAACTTAACCTTAGGATTTCAACAACTATATTGAGTGAATGGTCTTCACAAACAATCGTTGTTTTGATGTTTTAAAACACTACTAAACCAGGTGAACCATGCTTGAAATGCTCCTGGAAGGCCGAGGTTGATCATTGGCAAAGTTCTTGGATGTGAAGACCAACCGCTTGGTCGGTGGTTTCAACTCACGAGCAAACACATATGAGTCAGGCTTTTTTTCAATGTAACGCTTGAACATCAAGAATACCCTCCCTACACAGTCCTACACACATCACATGTGGATGGCACGCCCAACTGGCCCAACTGGCCCAACAGTTCATGCCATCTGAACGCCCTGGGGCGACCACGACCACGACCGTCTTCCAAACCGAAGACGAACCCCACCGACCGCGACCACGACCGGCCTATCGTGGTGCTCCGTCCACTCGGACGGTAGAGGAGCCGCCAAGGCCTGCGGCGAACGCCCGCGAGTGCGGAGCGAGTTCGGAGCGAACGGAGCTCGGTTTGGGGTTGGAAGGAAGCTGTTTGAAGGAGCGAAGGGAGGTAAGAGAGCGGGAACTATATAGGAGTGATGGCCTCCACCTATAGGAGCGATGGCCTGAAAAAAGGGAGGAGGATATACGAGGATGTTTCGATGGTTTGACGCGGAGCAAACAAACATCAGGCTATGGAACTTTTGCAGGAGGGTCGAAGGGAAGATCGTTGAGCGGCTAGGGAGAAGGCTCTTTGGGGATGTGTTCCAGATGAAAATTCATGCAGCAGAAACAAGCTTCGGAAGACTCAACGTGGGCCAACATCAAGTGCCTGGGTACTCATGAAGGATATCCAATATCATCGTCACCTTCCACTTGCGAGGCATTGGATTGTGCATTGAAAGCCAATGGAAGTGCAAGTGAGGCAGTGTTGCAAGTGCAAGAAGTGCACTGACAAGCATTTAGAAAGCAATCATCTGAGGGAGCCGTTGATGCGCCAACCGAGAGATGCGTGTGGTGTGTAACAGCGTCATTGTTGAAGCGCATGAAAACAAGTATTCACAATTATGATCTATCTAATGCATCGCATAACTATAATTCTGTGTATAGGTTTCTACACACTCAACACGATTGAAAACGATTGACCCATAAATACCTCTATATATATATACCCTAACCTTCCAACGTACATGGATACCATGGGCATAG